CAAAAAACAAACAAACAAAAAACAATAAACACCATTATACTAGTGGAAACTCTTCGTTTTATTAAAGTAAACAATGTGTATATTTATAACAGCTTTATTATCATTGATTATAGTTTTACAAGCCGCTAAAGAAAAAACTGCTATGAGTATTTTACTGAAACCTGGACAGTAGTCGTTCTCTGTCTATATATGTACCTAAAAGACTACAAGTCGTACACTATTTACCCGTGTCTGTAGATTTACCAAAAACTACAAATGTCTCTCTATCTCACTCTGTCTGTATATCTACCAAAAATCTACTTATCTCTATCTACCTCTGTTTGTATATCTACTAAAAACTACAAATCTTGTATTTTTTATGATTGTTTTCTAGACTGCCGTGATGTCAAGCAACGTTCTTTTGGCCTTTGTTTGCTCACTTGAAGATGTTGAACATGCAGAGTTGGAATCCATTAAAAACATCCAGGAATGGCCATCAGAAACTGAGGTTGCAGAGCAATATTCAAACCCCTCGTTTACCCCATAAGGAGTACGTGAAACTATGGGCTTTAAGCACTAACTATACTTTGAACAAATTGGTGATTTTTTTAAAGTGTATCCTGTAAAATATGAAAATTAGCACTGAATTGTACAGGAGGTGGAAAACACGTGTTGGATGAAAAAAAATGCCGTCATAGCTGAGGAAGAAAAAAGAATACTCTAAGCGTTTTCATTCTGTTGGAAAAATAAATTAAAAGTTTTTAAAAATTTGATGTGCCAAAGATGTGAGAAAAGCGCCCTCTTCTTTAGAAATATACGAATCTTATTTGTTTCTGTAATGCATAAAATTTTGAAGCTTCATTTTTTAGGACTTTTTTTAGCACATTAAACGTAAGTTCTTTATTATTCATATTAAACGCATGTGTATGTATGTATGTGTGTATTATATATATGTTTAAAATGAAATACATAAATACATTTATTTATATATATATATATATATATATACATTTTTTATATACATAAAATACGTTATTTACACAGCTTCTTCATAATTATTATTTTCGCAAGTGATATTTTAATGATCTTTCACCTAATTCGTGTGATCAGCTTTTTTGTTTACCATTTGCTAGTAAATGATTTGCTGGAAAAAAAGACGTACTAAACTTAGCTGGCGGAGAATTGGTCAAAATACGTAAATAAAACATTTAAAGTTCAGAGTGTGACTCGAAAATTTTGTGAATAAAAAATCTGTTTTTTTTTTGTAACTGTAACATTTATAAAATTACATTACATATATATTATATAGGTAATATTACGTATGTGGATATATGTACGTTTGTAAATATAGTGTTTAATTTTCTACTTTCCTCGAAGATCTATAATATAGTTATGCATAAATATTATATAAGTATATTATGTATCTTTTTGCTGTTGGTATTGCTAAAGACGTAACTTATACCTTACTTTCTCCTACAGCAATTGAATATTATGTATTTGTTTCTTTGTTCTTCTTATTGGCGTTTTAATTAACTCCATTTGTTAAATGCATATAAAAATTGGTTGATAAAAAGGTTTTTTACATGAATATTGAAAATATATTTGACCAGAACTTGCACTGAAATCAGTTCTTCCCCACTGTTGATTTAAAACATATTAGTTCTTGTTCTATAGTGATAATTTTCAAAATATGAGAGAATGCAATAATAATTTTCTTGTTGATAATCGACCTACAATTACAATGTACAACATGCCAGTTATTTCCATAAAAAAAGTTCCCTGGTGGGACAGTGGTAAGTCTTCAGATTTACAACGCTAGAATCAGGGGTTCGATTCCCCTCGGTGGACACAGCAGATAGCCCAATGTGACTTTGTTATAAGAACACACTCATTCCATAAAAAGACATATCGTATTAGAAACTTCAATAATATCGTCTGTTTTGAATTCATATAAATAAATTTCTGGGTTTGTAGTTGATTCTGTTAACAAATTTCGAGTTTTTTTCATCTGTTTCACTTCATATCCTCATTTTAAAGTTATAGAACCTGATTTTTCAAACAAATATAAGGTTTAATGTTTCTTGAATTGAACACAAATAGCCTGTTGATAGATTTTTTGGCTACCATAGTCCAACCTATGAGTTCTGGTATTGAGCGAAAAGCTTCATGGTCTGTGTTTGTCTGTTTTGAATTTCGCGCAAAGCTACACGAGGGCTATCTGTGCTAGCCGTCCCTAATTTAGCTGTGTAAAACTAGATGGAAGGCAGTTAGTCATTACCACCTACCGCCAACTCTTGGGCTACTCTTTTACCAACGAATAGTGGGATTGACCGTCACATTATGAACGCCCACATGACTGAAAGAGCGAGTATGTTTGGTGGGATGGGGATTCGAACCTGCAACTCTTAGATTGCGAGTCGAGCGCCCTAACCACCTGGTCATGCCGGGCCTTATGATCTGTGACTTGTAGTAAACAAAACCTGAAATTTTATTTTACTTCCCGTATACATGTTTCACTTTTCTTGTTAAATTTCATTTCATTAAAGTTCCACGAATATAATTGATGTGAACAACAGAACGAATGAAGTTAATCGAAAAAAAAATGTATATTTTAGAGTATTCCATTTTTCGTTATGAAACTCTCGGAAAATGCAGGATCCAAAACAACTGAATGTGGAATTTAAAATCATATCATTCTTCCAATGCGTCAGTTAAAATAACTCATTAGTAAATACAAAAATAATTCGCTTTTGACCAGTTTAGGACGGTTAAACAGTTTTAAAGAGTGAAATAAAAACATTAAATCTACAATTCGTAATGGTTATATTAGTAAACACATTTGCTTATATTTACACAAAATATAAACTTGAGTTTGAGCAGCATAGATCATTATTTATACTAAGACAATTGGTTTACAACAGAATATATTAGCTACCATTGTATTAAAATATGTTGTCATATCTATTTGTGTAGTGTATAATCCTTACGCTTACTGTCATGATGAACATATCTGCATGTAATAATTTCTGTAACCGTTCAAGGTGAATACTGTAATATAATGCTATTCACATTTCATTTAATTCTATATAGAAATAAACTAGCTTTATCAATATATGGAGAGAGAAAAAGAGTGAAAATATTTCGAATCTGTTGAATTCTACCATGAGTTTGGTATAATTGTAACATATGCTAATAAGTCACTCATTGCATACATCAACGAGTTTTCGTTTCTTGTACATTTTTTTTAGTAGAGCCTAGACTAGAACTTTGTAATTAAATAATCGCCAAAAAAAATCTCATATTAACTTTATGTTTGACGACAGTTTAAAGAAGAGAGACAAAAATATTTATCTATGTTTAAAATTTTCTGATAAGTTCAGGTATTCACTATTGATTTATGCTTTTATGGTAATTCTATATTTTTTTAATTTCTTCTTATTGGATGAGAAGGTAAGACCTCCTGCACGTCAAGTGAATGCCTTACCAACTGAACTGGCGTTCTTGCTTTCTTAGTACGATTCGGGATTTAATAACCGGAGTGTTCGAAAATTAAAAATTTCTCTTCGCTCAGCTTGTGATATAAAGATATTACAACGCGCGAAAAAAATCATATGTGCACACACACACATATAAATATATAATATATACACAAATATAATTACTAAAGAGAAAGTTGTCAAAAAAGTCTGGTGGTGCATAGAAGAAGGCTATGAATGAAGTCAGAGGTGGTGACGATAATGTATATTTGACTGTAGACAGCGGCAATCAGTAAATCTTATGCCAAAGAATTAGATATGAGGAGCAAAACAGGAGTAACCCGAGAAAAACCCAATTTCATTGGACGGACGCACAAAAATCTGCCTGCTCAGTGCCTGAAATTAAACGTGAAAGAGCAGTTATCAACTAAGCGATTAAGGCCAGCAAGATACTTTTTAACACAAATCAAAATGCCACATTCTTCCCTTCCCACAAAACAAGGTCTGTCCTCGGGTTTTATCTCAGGGTTGTGTGGCGACCACTACTTCGTAGCCAGTTTTTCTTGTCAGAATATAAAATTTTTATTATTTTCTCAGCTTGGTTTCAAATCTGAGACATACCCCACACCATGAGTGCATTACCAACTGAGCTAAAGCACTAGCACTTGTTAGTAAGGCAGTTTTTATTAATTCAAACAACCACACATATTCCCCGTATTTTTTATTTATAGATGACTCAAACTTACTGAAAGAAAAGATTTATTGGAGATAATCAAATAAAGCAAATATGTTTGGTAAGTTTCACAATTCAATAGGACAACTCTGTTCAAATATTTAACTATTGTTAAATTCAAACTGAGGTGAGGTACAAACATTTCTTCATGTTATATGAGCTGCTGTGAGCTCATATTCCTTAAATATGTATAATAGGAATGAACGTTGACGTCCGTGATCTAAAATTCTGGGATACCACTCTGTGAACTTTTAGTCCCTTTATCACTGTACAAAGTATACACGATTCTTGCTTCAGGTTTCGTCTCATGTGGACTTTTTTCTCGTCTATTTATAACAATCAGAAGTCACGAGACAAAATCTGAAGCTGGTCAGTTGTGCAATTTAAATTCACAAAGTAAAACACGATTTTGCTGTCACTTTAAAACATTTTATTTGTTTTGCTTTGAAACATATTGAATCAAAACACTGAAACAGAGTTTAATATTTTCCTGTAAGTCATCTTTTATATCTTAAACTAAATCATTAAAGGGTGTTTAAAGTTAGCTATTAAATTAAAAAATGTAAAACATTAACTCCTGAAGTATGTGATCTATAATAATAAATGGACGTGTCTGCGTGTGTGTGACCAACATAACTCATCTTTTTATGAGACAATATAGGGAAAACCACATAAGAAAGAATATCTGACCACTATATCTCCGAGAGCAAAGAACCTAGAAACCTGAAATTTTGCATCCATACTAAGAGGACCCCGAGGGTGTGCACCTGGGTATTATTACTTACCTTATCCACGTGCGAACGCGCATGTGCATCTTTTTAATGAGGCAAACTACTAAAAAACCGCATAGAAAAAATGGTTCTTTATATTACAAATAGAAAACACAGACAGACACGCACGTGTGCACATGCGCAAGCACAGATGTATGTGTATGTGTGACCACCATAGCTTCAAGAAAAAATAACATAGAAACCTGAAATTTTGCATCCATGCTAAGTGGACCCTGAGGGTGTGCACCTGGATATCATTACTTATCTACGTGTGAGTGCATCTTTTTATGTGAAAAAAACACATGGAAAAGAAA